GTTGGAACGCACCGAGCAGTTAACCAATCGTCCATGCGTCCGTAACGCTATTTGCTAATTTAGAATAATTTGTTATGAGGCAGTAAATTTCTGTCGTTCTCGCATGAGTGGCACTCGAGTAAAAGCGATAACGTTATCACTCTTAATTTACTCTCGCTATCGCGCGCCGTAGCTAATGTGAAAATCGCCGATTAAAACGCGTAACTTTTCAGGACGCTTTCCAATCGTTCGTCGATTTTTCGGCGCGTTCAATAGCGTCCAAACTTTCGCGTGATCGTCAACGAAAATCAATACCACACGACGAGATTATTTCCCGTCGACGACAGGTGTCTCGCTCCCGAATCCCGGGGACTCCCCGCGGAGCCTCATGGCGCTCCGCGCGTCGGCAAATTAATTCGATCAATTAATACATGCTTAAGCGGCCGCGCGCGGACGACGCGCATTGGTTAATAACCAGCCGACTGGGTGCCATCTCGCCGAGTGCCGTCATCCCCCGCGCGCATCCGGGAATCGGCGCCCTGGCTCGCACCTACACGGACTCCGAAACGGCGGTAGCGACGGCTGTGCACACGCATGCACACGTACGTACGTGCAGCATTCAATCGATACCAGTGATATCGCCGGACGGCCATTTTTATTTCGGACCGATTATTTTTTCTATTGCTTTCTCTTCTCTCTAAACGCATTCCTCACATCGAATTCAGAGAGCTTAAATGTTTTTCTTTCATACATATTCCAATAACCTTTACTTTCTCCGTTTCTATAATATTTCATGTTGCTATTTAAAAGGTGCTATTTTCACACTTTCTAAAACGTGCTTTCTATGGACGAAAATCGTAATTAATTATTTGAAAACTGAGTTTGAGAAAAGGAAACTGTGTAAGAGGGGAGGGGCCCATTCTTCTATAGCTATAGCTATAGCTATAGCTTTGTCGGTAACTTTGTCGCTGTCGCTATCGCTATCGCTATCACCTATTGTGCAAGAGGCTTTAACAACAATTTCGTTATTGTTATATTTGCGTTGTGCATATATTATATATGATAAAAAAGTTACGCAACGATATTATAACAACAAAACTGTTGTTTAGAGTTACGGAATAGGCCTACTGGACATAACATAAATTTGGCGTCCCCCTTCCGCAATCGAACAATAGACAGAGTAGCATTTGGCGCTCTCTTGACGCCGGCACTCGGTGCCTGGGCCCCTTTCGCCCTTCCCTCTTCGCACGGCCCTGTTTCAAAGTGCGGAGAAATACAAATGTACATCAATCCTAATGTCGAAAAACAATTTTGTAGTAATATGTAGATCTATATAGAATACCACAGTGTGGTAACTATATTACTTCTGTGATAAATTTAAAGTTAAATTTTCCATAATCAAAACGGAAAGTCTTAATACAAATATACATATAATACTAATTAATCCTAGCAATATCAATTTTCAATAAACAAACATTTTTTCCATTTTCCTCGTTAATTTAACGCATCAAGTTTAATATACTTTCTGTTAACATATGATTCGATGGAGTTGACGAAAGTTACGCAAAGTCACAAACCTCGGCGAGCTTGAGATACTGGCGAAAGGGGGTTGGTACCCCGCTTGCGTTTAAGATGCCAACGTAATCGGAACCGGCGATCGAGATTCGATCAAGACCTGATAATCAGGTTGTTGGCACCTGTGGCGACGTAATTAATGCCGGTGCTAGATGCAGCACCCCTCCTTCTCTCCTTATCCCCTCATCCCTTCTCCATTCCTCATATTCTGTTGTCTCTCTTCAAAGCTCGTTAATTCTCGGCGGGACATTACCGAGCAAATTAGGCAAATCGACTCCCCCTCTTTCTCTCTCCCCTCCGTTCTTTCTTCTTTTCACTTTTCCTCCGTCGGCTTGCATTTTTGTGCCCCTTTCGCTCTCAAACGCGGAATAAAGTAGCCGTGAATCGGCCAGGAAGTGGGCGTTTCGTCATGATGTTTAAGAGACATGCAGAGCGAGGGGAAAGAAGGAGAACAAGAAAAAAAAGGGTACGACGAGGTGACTTCGTCGTCCTGGTTCCCCTGCTTGCCGTTGCTTTTCGCAAATTGGCTCTCTCCGCGTTCGTTCTTTTCAGATCCATCTCTTTTTCCGATCTCTTTCCTCTCTCCAGTCGCTCTTTCTCCGGCTTCACCTTCTCGCGGGAGTAATTAACGATTTAACAGACACGCTGGATGAGCGGTGCGTGAGTCGGTTAAGCAAGTTGTTATTAAGACTGACGCAGTATCTCTCGGAAGAGGGGGTGAGAGAAGACAAAGAAAGAGAGAAAGATGAGGAGGGAAAAGAAACGAATGAAATCGGCCTTATAAGAAGAGAGAGAAAAAGGAAGAGAAAAGTTTATTATATATCTTAGAATACGAATCTCCCTCCGGGTATTCTATATATAGGGAATTAGATTGTAAAGTAGAAATTAACATAATAATGTACGAAGTAAGGCTGGGTGCGTCTCGAGGCGAGGAGAAATGCAGCAAATACGAAAAAGTAGAAACGAAGCTGTGCGTTGTACGTCACAGTTGAAGGGGTGTATTACTTTAACGAGTACCGTAAGCTATAAAAGTCTGCAAAATACGCGTTGCGTAAAGGAAGATCACAATAATCAAACTGGCAGGTTCGGAAAGCGAGAGGGGATTTTCAGAAAATCGAATCTTTTTAAACTACCCAACGATACATCCGTCACGTTAACATTTCCGTTCAAGAAAAATCGCACATAAATTGCAAGATGGTTAAATTAAGAAATTCGCCGGGAGAAATGAGTTAAATGTTTGAGAAAAAGTACGTCACGGAAAGATGCGAGCGGGGATCGGCGCCAAGAATATACCGAACTGACGGGCGCAGGACGAAGGCGCGACGGCGAGACGAGCAAGGCCGTTAATGTTTTGTGTATTCAAATAAAGAGCGGCGGCGATGGGCGCACATTCGCACGCAAGTCGGGACCCGGGCTCGCCCACCGGCTAATGGGTTTATAATGCCTTTATTCCACATTAAAACGCCACCGCCAGCTCGCCGACACCTTGGCGACGGTTCTCGCGGTGTGTCCTGCAAGAGATCGTTTAGACCCGGTGGTACAATTCACCTTCTGTCCGCGATAATGCGCCGTTCTTGCGCGAAATTACACGGTTGTACCACAAAATCCGCGGCGCTAGAAGAAAACGAAACGCCCAAATATTTTTCTCGAGCGCGAACTCGGAAAGAATCATCTAAGAGAAATAATACAACGAAAAATTATTGAGACCTCTGCATAGTACTTTACACGTCAAACTCAAAGATTGATAATGCAAAAATTTGCTCAAAATAATTTGCCCATGAATAAGCATTTACTATAAATAATAATTTAATATATAATATATAATTTAATATAACAATATAGCATGTTAAACAGCGCCCAAGTTTTAGAGTAAAAAAAATCCAAAATACGCGTGGAGAATATCCGAACGATTAAGACTTTAGACGTCTGGTGTCCGTGACAAATTTTTCGTAAATTATATTCCCATCAGAAGTCGCTCTCGCGCGGCAAAATGTGTTCCTCTTTAATAAAGCAGAGGCGATTCATGCGCCGTCGTGCCCGGTCTTTTTACCGAAGGCGCAATCGCAATCGCGTGCTTTACGGCGACGCGACGGGAGGGGGGCCCTAATCAAGCGACCGGACATCCTCGATGTTTACGACGACGAGACGTTGCGCCCGCTTTTTCCCTTTTTCGTCGTAACGCTCTCACCGTGTCACTCCTCTCGGCGCGCCGCCACTAATACCGGATCCCGTCGCCCTTTCGTGCCGAACGCGACGCGTGATTTACGACCGAAGGATGGATCGGCAGGCCGACCGGCCGCATGTCTATTCATGCCTAATGCCCGCCTGATACGGCCATAACGACGAAAATGTATTCATTCTGTCCACTTTACGACACGATGATCGCCCGACGAATTAATAAAGCGAATATCTTGGCGAATGATAAATTTAATCCCAGTTTAGTATGCTAATTAATTATTTTTCAATTGCGGTTGCAATGAAAGTTACGGCTTTCATACATGTTCGCGATCTTAACGGAAGATAAAATAAATATGTGTTAATGATTATAAAGAATACAGCAAGATCAAAACCAGTTTGTAGAAATTTGTTAAAGAAAATGCTCAACGACGTGTGTTACTACCCTTGATACACGAGAGAACTTTAAATGCAATATATAGGATCAAGTATTATATACGATGCTGTAAAATATGAATTTCAATGTGTTTGCTCTCAAGATCCATAAGTATTTCAGCAACTTAAAACATAACATTAAAATATACTAAAATATATATTATTAAAATATAAATAATTCTTTATCATAATAAACGCGTGTCACGTGCGCTGACGAAAATACCTGGCGAAAATAACGACACGAGAACGGTCTCGTGACCGTGTCGGCGATCAGTCGGTCTCGCCGCCGGTTTGCATTTCCAGCAAATGGTGACTCCTTCATCCCCTAATCGCACGGTCGGCTTGAGGATCGCGTGATGATGCCTTTAAACGGGGCATCCTGTAGCCCAACCGTACAGAACCGACAACATTTGCCTAAGCGTGTACACGCCAGCTCGAGCAGAATCACTGCGAATAATAGTTCCTTACCTCGATCACATCAGATTTACCCACGCCAAGGATGAGAGAGTAGATACTCGAGCGATTTGTCCGTAGGATAATATCTGCGGCGCGACGATAAATAATCTACAAGAGAGAGAAGGAAATGTTTGTGTTATTTATGAGTTAATTATATGATAACGATATGATGTATACTTCAGTACCTCCCGCATGGATTATCCTGCATTAAATTCTTACGAATTCGGGTAATTAAAAATTAAGTCTCTGTTTATCTTTTCAAAAGTTCTTGTAATTTAAACGGGACAATTTTGGGAACGAGTGGAATGTGAAAGAAATGCATGGATAATCAAAGGGAGAATATTCGGGGGGAAATTTCGGCGACGCGCGAAAATATTCGGTACAAGAAGTTTATTAGGGTTTATTTACAAGGGAGCAGCTTGCACAGCAATAGGTGTATGCGTTCCTCACAACACAAGCATTAACAATATAACGCTCTACACTAACACTAATCGCCGCGGCGATAATAATCCTTTAGGTGTTCGCGGAGAACGCGCGAAGTGTCGCTCGGAGATCCTTAATGATCCTAATTCTTCAACCTCTCATTTACGCTCAACTTAAACGTGAATCGGATGTCGAAGTTCTCGGTCTTCCTTGAACGACTTATCGAAGGTTCGTATAGGTACTTTCAGTCGAAACGCATCGCGTCCAGCGCGCTCACTTCGCGCCCACTCCGCGTCGAAGTATGGAATCGAAACATAAATAACGATAACAATAGCTCGTGATACGAAATATACAGCTTATATTACAAGAGATAGAGGCGTAATTATCTTATATCGCAAGTAGATATATGTATACCTATATACAAGTAGACTTTAGTCGCCGTACAGCTTAGTTGCCCTTAAAGATGCATATACGTGTATTATGTACGGCAATTATGCCGCCTTTAGAACCAGCATGGTTACATATTTACAATCCGTTTGTATTCTTCGCGCGTGCGATCCACCGAAGATCATCTTTGCGGCAGTTCGACCTCGAAATGACGTAACCGTGTTTCTTGCGTACAAAAATACGCGACTACAAAATGAACAAACGAAACATGGAAATATATGGGGTGCATAACGAAAATATTTCCGCTTGAGAAATCATGCTATCCGATTTGGCGTATCATCGCAGTTCCTTCACTGAAAGCAGTCTTGGTGATCAACCTACGGTGCTGCAAGATACATGTATTAGAATAAAACATACAGAATGAATGAAAATTAAGCTTGAAAATCTCTTATTGCCAGCATCTTCTGAAAGTGTAACAAATTTTTGCGCGACGACAATTCTTTTATTCTTATCGATTTCAAAGTGCGTCCCTAGGTGCATCCTGACTACCAGGATCACGGCGGCCCTATCGCTTCCAATCGCTGATCAAGGCAAAGATACGTGTGCTCCTCTCGATCCCAGGGTTCAGTCGGGAGACAACGGAATCGCCGAGTCACGTGAGACGGCTCGGGTCCCCTGCGCCTGCCACCATGCCCGCCAAAGGTCGAAAGTTCAGCCGAGAGAGCATTCAGACTCTCGGAGAACGTGAGCTTTACGTTTTCTTTCCTCCGCATCGTCTTCGCGGCACGATAGAAAGACGGAGAGCGACAAATCGCCGTGGCCAACTCGGGAACCTTTGACACCGCACAATTATCGTTGCTATTCACGCCGGATTCTGTACGTTTCGTCGAAACCGCGGACACGCGGCGACCTCCTCCTGACGCCTTTCGACGCCGTGCGACGCCGCGCGACGAAAATCGATCCCCGTTCGCGCAAACATTTCGTAACGATTTGCTTTGTTACGCATCCATAATACGAATGTGAGAATGCTCGTTCATCTTGTATTCTAATGGAATGGAGACCGGCTCCTTAATAATATAATAAAGACAAGAAAATATAGATAATAATTACGATAGATATTGCACTTCTAATGAGAACATTCTATAACTGCTAAAAATTCTCCGAAATCTAAAAAAAATAAGAATTACTTGAAGTAAAGATAATACGATGGAAATCGACTTTCACCGCGCGCACAAATCTTCGTCAGTTCTCCGTGAAAGAAGACGAATTATTGCAAGGCGAATTAATCGCTACGCTTCGGTCTAAGTCGAGAAAAGGAGACTTTCATCACATGGAGAGGAATTAGATTCCTCTATAAAAAAGTCACAACGCAATTCGCGATCCAATTGCGCGGAATCTCCTATTTCTGAATGAGGAAAAACCAGCTTTCGTCGCGCAGTCTTAGTAAAATATTTCAAACTCCTTCTAGAGTCCCTTCACGAGAAAATCGTGAACCATTGTTTCCCTAATGAAGCCACAAGGGACTACGAGGGCGAGAGGTCTTGGGCCTCCCTGCTGAGACTATCCGTGGGCGACGGGGTCGCCCTTCTGGACGGCGACGGCGACGGCGCAGCCGGCGTCGAGGACTTGGGGACGGTCGCCGTGTGATAGGGCGAGAATCGGTGATGGCCCAGGGCAAGAGGCGACGGGTAGAGCGGCCGGGGGGCCGCCGGGCCCGACGGGTTCTGCTGGGAGCTGGACGCGACCAGCTGCTGTTGGTGATGCGCCGCTGCAAAGATAGTGGATCCGAGCGACGAGGCCCACCAGAAGTGGCCCAGTTGCTGTTGCTGCTGCTGCTGCTGTTGCTGATGCTGTTGCTGCTGATGGCTAGTGCCCGCGGCCGAGGCGCCCGGATAGGCGACCAGAGCGGGGTTGACCAACTGGGCGTAAGGACTGGCAGCCACGGCCGCCGCCGCCCTCAGCAGCATTTGAGAACGCGCGGCCCACAAAGCTTTCTCTTCGAGGCTGAGATTGCTCACGGCGCCCGCTTGGAGCTGCTCCACCTCAAAGGGCAGCCGATGCGGAAACCTCAGCGATTGCTGTTCTGCCAGCATTGACTCCATGGTCTCCCTGAAAGGGAAGCTGCTCCATTATGCATACCGTCGTCTAGCCGCACGATTCTCCGGAAGGACATTGAGCTCAAAACTTTGTCAGCCGTTACAAGCAAAATTCACAAATGGATTGTCCATTCCAGGTTTTTTGTTTAATTTATCTTCTTTTGACATAGGTCTTAGATGCCATTAAGATTAATGATCTCCTTTAAGTCCGGTAGCTAATTGCAATTTCACAGGCTAGTAAATAAACTTAACTCAAAAAAGAAAAAGATAAATCTCTTTTCGTACATTAATATAGAATCTGTTTCAAGCAAGATCAATATGATTTATGTCGTTGCAAATCATTTTATCATCGCAGATTTCATCAAATTTACCGCTATCTAATGTTAGCAAGGAGGAGTTTACCTTTCGAAGTCCGTGAGACGAGAGGAGTCCCGAAAGCCCTTGGCGAACGGATTACTGTCGATCTTGAGCTTCGTGATCTGTAACAGGCGGAAAAACGGCCGTCGGTTAGTACATGGCGGACAGGAGATTGGCGAGATCGGAGAGATCCGGAGTCGCCCCCGGACTTGCACTAACATCGACGATCTCTCGCAAATTCCCCGATCTTATTCCCCGGCGCGCGCGACAGCTCGGTTTCGCTCCGGGAAAATTACGTCACCGGACGGCCAGCCAACGGCGCGTGGCGGAAAACGGCCGGCTGTTTCGAAACGGTTCGTTCCATCGATCGGGAGTCAACGGCTCGTAAAATTAGAAGAAGGCGGCGAAGCGACGTACCTATATGAGGCGAGAGGAGGAAGTAGGGGAATCAGGGGGATCGGAGAAGAGATAGGGGAATGTCGCTGATGCACGGGAATCCTCGCGGGCGTTACGGGTGCGAGCCGGGGATCGGGATGCACCGGTTCCGAGATTTTTCTGGCGAATAGTAGCATCGTTGGCTGATTCACCGTTCGAATCGAGAGTTCGGATATTACTTTTGACTGGGGTGAGATAAGCAACCGCGATATTGCTCGATATCGAATATCGTATATACGACAGTTAATAACCCTTCGATAAAGTGTCTCCTTAGCACAATAGAATTGGACAGTTTTACAATTTATTAACGATGAAAAGAGCTGACAGTGGGAGCTTTCCAGCAAGCGACACAAGTCGACACAAGTGTCGTTTTGTCTTTGTTACTCATTGCCAAAAAAGGAAGATAGAACGACGTTTGTGTCGACTTGTGTCGCTTGCTGGAAATCTCCCAGTGTTCGAGAGTGACATGAGAAAAATTATGAGACGTAATGAATTTAATAAATGTATCTGTGTATATGTATAGGCTGTATGCATTTTAACAAAATGTTATTCTAATACACAAAAGGCATTGTTAAGAAGAAAGCTTTTCATTCATTTTCTTCGTAAAATCATAGATTTGTAGTCATTAAAGTGATCCCCTTCTTAAACGCTTGCTTCACAAAATAAATGATTTTTCGCTCCTAGTAAATAGTAAATGATCTTCTCCTTCTTTCTTTCCATTTTCTGTATAATGGGTCTATTTTATTCTCATAGTCTATGCTGTGTATTGCTACGTTAGCAGGCAAGACCTACCTCTCACTGCGAGGGCAAAGAACGCTTTGTTCGCGCTCGACACTTAAGAAACCATCACGGTGGTCGACAGGAAGAAATCCGAGAAAGTTTGTCTACGTGTTAGTCTACATATCGTCACGTTTGTAGTAGCCTCTTAAGTGGTTAGGCTGCATTTCCTCTCCCGCTCGTGTGTCCCACCCCTACGAACATCTACCCTAAGTCAGATCCGCACCCCAAGTTTGGTGTTTCGCGTTACCTACAGGCCCACCCACGACGGATGGGACGGATATATACAGGTGGCCTCGTTTCCGAGGTCTCCAACATGAACCATCTAACAGACAGCCTTCGCCTTGCACGCTCCCATTTCGGCAAAACCTTTGAGGACAGATTTCGTTGCCTGATTCCCGGGGGGATACCTGCGTCCGAACTGTTGCGAAGTTTCCAAACATAAAATGTTGTGTTGAACCGACAAAATTTTCCGCGTTTAAGCGCGAAATGCGGCAGCTTTCTTACGTTACACGACGCTCGTGACCATGAAAGATACATTAGTGAATAACAATAAGACAATTACGTTCTACAAACCCGAACAATTTCTGTTGTTTTATTACGACGTGTATCCTCATAATGAGAGGGTACACGTTGTGTATCTTAGTTATTAACCTAATTATTAGTAGCAGCTATTACTAATTTAAAAAAGAAAAATCTTGAAAAACTGCGTACGTCTCAATTGTGGAATATACATAAATAATCATAAAATACAGATTAAAATATATCATGGATTTATCAATTAAAATATCAATTTTAGCAATATTTTTTTGCGGATCTACTCAAAATAAATCAGAACTGTTAAGATAATTAAGGCCGTCGCAAACATGTCGAAAGATAATTACAAAAAATTACGGAATTATTATAAAAAATTAAAGTAAATTTATGACATACATCTTTAAAGAATTAACATTTTCGGTTAGTGTTATAAAGATACGCATATATAATCTTTCTTGATAAATTTGCGGATGCCAAAGGTAATAGTCAGGCTTAAAATCGAGTTGGTAATTGGATGATTAGACGATGCCGTTAATTAACGCCTTCCCACGCGCACTGGCGCTCGGACGAAAGAAAGCATCGGTGGTACCGCATAAAAATGTCAAACAAGCGCAGTGATATCCCTCGACACGAACCCATCTAATTTCCGTCCGGCGAGGCCAGCAGGCATAAATCAGTCTTGTCTTCCGGGTCGAGTGTCACGGACGAGATGCGGCGCGGTTCGTCCGTACGACACGCTCCTGCTGCTTCGACTGCTTGGGGTCTTTCGGGAGACCCTCCCTCCCGCCATCCGAGATGAGACACAACACGCGTGTATTTATTTGGAAAAAGGAGCCGCTTGTCGCAACTTCGGTTACCCGTAGGTGGTCCAATTAATCCGCACTGTCCCAAAACTGGGGAAGCAAACGAGGCATCCCATTTCCACGATAAAAATCCGATTTGAAGAAAACTATTGCAATGTGCATCGTTATTTCAATATTATAATTTAATACTGTACGGTATTAAAAAATATTCGATGTTAGTAATGTGTAGCAGAAACATTAATTCCATCAATATAGCTAAAGATATTCGATCGATTAACAGACTTTGTAAAAGTGCGAAAGCTCCTGTCTTTCAGAGAAGCAATAAAAAGATTAAAAGAACGCGTGTCTTTATAAATATATAAAAATGAAATAATAAAATTTAAACATAATTTATATTCCATCATCTATATTATTAAGTAGAATAGTTTGAAAACTATTCAACATTCAAGATATTAGATAACTTTCAAAACCAATCCGGTATTCCATGTATCCCTTTATTTAAATACACGTCGTATCTTTTTATTTTCAACAACAGCTTCTAAGGCAAGGGACGAGTCTCGTAATTTACATCTGTAATCTATTATCGACATATATATGAAGCAGCCATCATCCCCATTCACCCGTTATACATTTATCCGATAATCGCGATGACTTCACGTGTCGCGGTAAAGCAATCTGTTCTCAATAAGCCCGTGAGACACGTTTAGCATCTCTTTCCGCGTGTAGCATTGCAAGTGAGAGCGAATGCATCGACGACTGTCGGGACTGGAAGTCGTCGCGCGACTTCCAGTTTATCTGCTCGTCGAAAGCTCGCCGCCGTTTTCGCGTCCTCGGCGACGGAGGACGAGAAAAAAAAGGAAGAGAAGGAAGGGAGGAGGCAGCGAGGGAGCGACGAACGGAGAGTGGCACTCTTGGTGTGTCGAGTGGGTGGTCCAATTACCCTACGGTTTCGCGCTCACGAGCAGCACGTGCAGGCCCCGGTAATAAGACTCTTTCCTTCAAAGCTGAGGCTAAGCCGGTGCTAAGTCCGGGGCCGCCTCGGTTTTAGTTACGATTCCGCTGACATCATTAGCCAAACATCTGGTCCGCCACGACCAGCACCACCACCATCGTCAGCATCGTCGCTCCCTCGACAACATCTCGCCACCTCCGTCTACGTTCTCATCTACATCTTTCCCCTCTCTGTCTGCATTCGCCTCTCGTCATCGGTCTGCCTGACGATTCGCGTCGTCGTCGTCGTCGTCGTCGTCACTTTATGAGCGGATCGCCGGCGATATTCCGTCGCGCGGGTCTTTGAGATCCGCGAGACGAACTATACCGGACGCGAGTTCAGAACGACTTCTGGTCTTTGATATCGGCGCTTTACCGCGTTTTGCCGACCGACATTCTTGTCGAGCTCTTTGCTTTACGGTAGGTCTGCTGGTCGGCAATGGCGTGGCGTTACACTTGCAAATTTCATCAAATCCCACCCTTTTCCCTCCTAAAATTGCTAATCCTCAACTTTGAATATTTTCCTAAAATTTTGCACAAAGTATAAAGTTTATCTCTTGTGTTAGATAAAGAATAGAATTTCGTTATTCTTCGCAGTCTTGATTTGCTGAAAATGTTAGATTTTCTAATCGCTCCTTACTGTAAAACTGTCAAAAAAGCGTTGTTTACAATTTTATGTTAAACAATACTAAATTAAACGGTCACGTTTAGATCGACGTGATACACAGGAGTTCTATCGCGTTGATGGATGAAATTTCCAGCAATGTGGCGTTGAAACCTCGACGCCACTGGGGCGGGGTTTGCAACAAACGCGGCCGACCCGTCGAAGTTATACGATTTCGCTGACACGGCTCGGCCAAACGCTTGGACCACTTCCCAGACCGATTTACGATGTCGGCCGTGTAGCGCGCAGCGAGTGGTACACCACGTGATAAATTCGCCTCGCATGCTCGACGTTCTGCACGGCCCGGTAGCCCCCGAGCCCGATGGCCGAGCGCATCGCCCGCCGCGTGCGAATAAATCCTCGGGGGAGATGCATCCCGAGAGATGACGCTCCGCCACGCACGAGAACGTATGTCGTGTCGGGCACGATACGCGGTACGCGAACGAAACATCCGGCGATCTTTCGCGTTCGCGAGTCATTAGGAAGAACGAGACGATTAACTATAAGACTCTCGAGTGTGGCCGATGTGCGTAATAGAGAAGTTTCACGTGTGGACATGCGTGCGAGAAGAAATAATTATATTAGACGATTAATACTGATAAAGTGCGCGAACTTGTAAATTTTATAAATTTTAAGGCAACATCATATTTAAAATCCTCAAATTATTTATTCTTTATTTTGCCGAAGGAGAGGACGAGAATATATTTTTCTAAATCCCTTTTTACATATCAAGATTTACGTCCATTTCTATCAACGCAGATTAACTTTAATCTCGGTTTAATTTACCTTTCACCTTTTTCTAATTTTAAGAGTTAGATAAAGTTAGAAGTTAGAAAGTAAGTTAAACCGAGATCAAAGTTAATCTACGTTAGCAGAAATGGACATTAAACATTTTTACTCAGAATCGAGATACGTC